CTTTTTGTCTGTTCATTTGACAGGTTTGAGTCCTTGTTTCTTTTATGCATGACCTTGATCTTTCAACCTCTGCTGTATTCCAAAAAAAAAAAAAAAAGTTTAAATCAGATACCAAAAATATTATATTTCATAAATAATAATATGATATTCAACTTTAGCACAACCTGTGAGAAACCAGCTGAGCTTAGTGGAGGTCCTGGCTCAGCTGGTTGTATTTGTTTTTATCATTTCCTTCCTTTTTTTTTTTTTTTTTCATTTAACAACAAGGAGCATGAGCCTGGAATAGAGCTGTCTTGTATCTCAAGTGAAAAAACTGCTGAGCTGATTGCTAAAATTTCTTTAGTCAAATAGCTTATAATTAGCTCATTACTCACAGTGTAAACTATACTCGCGGTACGTTTGTTTTATGAGAGTTTGTCCAATCTTTTTTGTCAAAATTTTGACGTGATCAATTAACGCAACATCTTTTCCAATAGAAAAATATAACTTTGTTGACCAACATATAATTGCTAACAGAGTTATTATGTTGGATTTTGAATTTAAAATTTAAATTTCATTAACTCATTTTCTTTATTTTTGTTTTATTTTTTAGAATTCTCCACAAAGTGTGCTGTTTCCTGTACAGAAGTGTCTTCTTTGTGGGTGGATTTCACTGGATTCCATTCCGTGGCCAGCGTGCTTCAGCTGCGGAGGCCCCCATTCTTGTCGCTGCCCCACACTCGTCATTTGTCGATGTGTTATTGTCAATTGTGACGGATATGACAACAGTTGTTGCAAAATCGGACACAAAAAAAATTCCCCTGTTTGGTAGTATGTATCTCTTATTGCAAAGTATAATTGCAGTGATTGCCACAAAGAAAAAAAAATCACAGTCTAGCCATTTCCTGATGAAAATATAATTCATGACAAGTTATCTTTTATTTTGCATTTCATTTTGAGCATTCTCAAAATATGTCAGAGAGTCATAAAGTAAGGTAAGGTATTGTATACAATACATTTATATGGTAATTGAAAAGCAAAAGTGAAACAGTATTTTTCAAAGGAAAAGAAAAAATGGAAATTGATTATTGATTGTCATGAAGACTTGAGTGTTCTTGAGGTAGGTAAGGATATTGAATTACAGCTGACAGAAGTAATGACAGTGACTGTGACACAAATGAAAAATTTTACATACAATTTGCCACCAACATACACATTCATAAACACATTTCAGAAAAAAAATTGTTTATTTATTAAATAAGTAATTGAAATTTAATATTTTGACATTTCACTCTTACTACCACACAACATTCACAGAGAAGTTATCTGTGATTTCCGTGACAGTAACAGTTATTGTACTGGACACTGTGATACTAACGGGAGACATATACTTAATTTTATAAATATTAATATATATAATTAATATATACATATTCTGTTGGGTAACACTGACACAATAACAGCACTCTCCTGGTTATGGGACATATATGGCGGTGACAGAAGGAAGACTTCTTTCTCGTAAATGATGCAGAATTATACCAAAAATTTGCATCTAATGACACTTATTGCTAGCACATATTCAAGACATTCTGAACATTTTGTTTGGATATATATATATATATATATATATATATATATATATATATATATATATATATATATATATATATATATATATTTATTGGTTTTTAAAATTAAAAGGGGATTGGTCAGTAAGGAGCAGGAATTTTAGCAAAACTGTTGGCCTTCACATTGCATCTTAGCCAGAGTTTTTGTAAGCCGGCTTTTTACCGAACCTTGACTTGCTGCCATAAGAAAATAACCCCACTTTGCAGCACAGCGGTTTTGTATTGATCAGATCGTGATTTGCTTTTAACTCCCTTGAATCTCTCTCATATATTACGTATGCTCTCTGTATACTGGGTAGGAAGTGGGGAGACACTGAATTTCCATTGAGTTATTAGATACTAAATTATAAATGCTATATGCTTCATGAAAAGTTGTGAGAAAAAATCTCCATGATAATTCTGGGTTGCTTTTGAAAGCAATTTTCAATCTTTTAAGAGACACTCTGAAGAGATCAATATGTCATTATCTAATATGTACTGTACTGCACCCTGTGGCCATATTTCCTTGTGACACTTTCTCTTCAAGTATTCTAAAGCACCCTGTTCCGAATCGCACCCCAGTACATTGTATATGATGTGCATGCAACTGTTGTGGTATCGGTCCTTTGATTTCTTGACTTGTACGTATTGCCATTCATATTACTGATTTTATTATTTTTTTGTAGGGTTAAATAGCTGGCTGAATCCCATATATTTTAAAGCTGCTTCATGATACTTGCTTTACTCTGTGTTTTTATGTTCATAATCCATGTCGAATTTAATTTAGTTATCATTGTTTTTCATTCATTTGCTTGGTTCATCATTAGGCGCTGTAGTGGCCGGTTGCTGGAGTTTATGGGAAGAGCTTGCTTTTTTGTCATGGGCTTCCATTATGTTAACATCAAGGGAATACCAGCGTCTGACATCGATGCTCCACTTCTAGTCGTAGCTCCACACTCCTCCTTTTTTGACGTACTTGTGTTTTTTGTCCTAAAAAATGGCCTTCCCAGTGGAGTGTCAAGAATAGAAAGCGCTGGTACCATGCTGATAGGAAGTAGGTATTACTTGCTGCAGCTCTGCTAAGGGCAGAAAGTAATCGCAAAAATTTTGACTTTTTTTTTCTCATAATTTTTTTTTTTTTGGGGGGGGGGGGGGATGTTTTTCCATATGCCATATTTATATACTAGTAATAATGCATGGGTGAAAGTTTTCAGGATTATGCCTGATTTCAAGATTTTTAGTTTTCATTTTGATCTTTTTTTTTTTTATATGGTCTAAATATGAAAAGAAATTGCAAACTAGGCTTTCAGGATTTACAACTTTCACCCATGACAATGAACTATGTTGTGCCTGTGATATATCTATTTCACTCGCAATATAAGAGCAATATATAAGTATGGCTTATCAGAGAAAAAATTCTCAGCAGATGCACCCTGAGTCACTGAGAACGGAGAATTGATAGGGTAGGGCATATGTAACAGAAATGTGACATCAATGGGAATTGTCATTAATTCTCTAAGGGCTCTTTGTAATTCTCCCAATGCAGCTGTTGTTCTTCGGGGACTCTTGCTGAATGCAGTCAGGTAAAAAGATGTACAAGCCTCTTGTTTCCAAAGTAGTCACGTCATCACCAGCTTTTCTGTATTCTATTCAAAACCAGGAGGAGGTGTGTTAATCTGATTGCATTCAGCGAGAGTCCCCGTGGAGTTGGATCTATGCAGAATGATAGTTTCAATGGGAATGACCCCTTATACTCAGGGTGACTCTCTGAGAATTACAGTAAAATGTTTTTTTTATTCAGGTGAGGTGATGGCACTGTATTATATTATGTGTTGAAATATTTGTGGTTAGAAATATTTGGGATAAGGACCAGATTGCATGCTTTATATGTCCTTGCATTCTATATTTATTTTTATTATTATTATTATACTTACAATCTGGTACATGTAAAACTGTCTTAGGGCCGTCTGACAATATTTTCCCCATCTGTGCAGTTTTTGTTCTATATTTTCACATCCAAAGTGTGAGAGAAAGAAACAAGTAAGTATTTGCATCTTATCTCAATAATCATAGACTGAGTTAATTAATGGAATAGATGTATCAAGAAAAAAGAATTAAGCAAAGACACACGGATTGGGAAAATATTGTGAAGTGGCCCTTAAATCAATGTGGTTGTAGCATATTATTATGCATGCATGCTCAGTACTGTAAAACTAAAAAGCTCATAGCACACCATTCTCTTCAGAACATTTGGCCACAGTAGCAGTTAGAAGGTGGATGTATTTCATAGACCCCCCCCCCCACCTACCTACCCCCCCCCCCCCCCTCAACCCCACCTCACCTCTACCACCCCTGAATACGCTAGTTTAAGCAAAAACACATAAAAGATACAAAAACAAGACAAAACAAGGGGGATCGTGGATTTATAGGCACAGAGAAGGTAAATTTATATATACTAGACCCCTGCCCCCCCCACCCAACCACCACCACCACCAAAACCACCCTGAATCCATTAGTGTAAGCAAGAACACACATAAAAGATACAAAAACAAGAGAAAAAACATTTGTTAGGGAAAATAGCTGCAATTATCTCAGGATGACAGATTGTTATTCATTCTTTTTGGCGGACACTAAGAAATATCTCTAGCACTGGTGTTCTTATATGGACTATTATGTGAAAGTTGGACATACATTGTATATCTATTGACAAAGAAAGAAAATTTTGCTTGAAATAATTGGTACTACATGGGGGGGAATAGGTTTATTTTTAGCAATGGAAAAATGTTTGGAAGTACTTACTAGTAAAAGTCTTCCACAGAAATTTATTTGATTTTAAAAAATAACTTAAGACAGGAATGAATTGAGAACTGAAAGGTTATTCTTTAAAAAATATCAAGTTATGTTGAAGAGGCCATATATTAGGGATTCTAAGATTAAAAGAACATTTAAGACTACATTAAGTTTTCAAAGACATTTTCAACAAATATGGGTTAGTGCAATACAGTGTACACCTAACTAGTACAGCTTTTATTACACATTTTAGAGATATGGTCAAAGCCCCAAAAACCTTTCCTAAGAGTATTGAAATGAAATATGAATAAATTATTTAAATTGAATGAATGGCATTTTCTACATTGCTTTCAATGAGTGATTTGAATTGGTAATACAAAAACTTAAGTTGGAAAAACATTGAATAAAAGTTGGTAAATTTGTTAAAAACTATTTCAGCCTTGGCAACCTTTACTCAGCCCATCTGGGTATCGAGAGAGGACCCAAACTCTCGACAAAACACCATTAAAGAGATTAAAAGACGCGCACAGTCCAAAGGGGAATGGCCGCAGATTATTGTCTTCCCAGAAGGCACCTGCACAAACCGTTCCTGTCTAATTACATTTAAACCAGGTAAGATCTCTGCTTATTTCTGTGGTTTGATAACAGATTGTGATTGCTCATCTATAAGTTATTACTTCACTTTTAAAATGGCATCTGATTAATTTTTTTATTTCAAGTAATACTGTGAATTTTTTCATTTATTTATTTACGATTAAAATAACCCAAGTCAAGGGCCTTTCAAGAATGTCAACAAGGTCACAGATTTTGACAGAAAGGTTTTCAGAAAATTGTGACTGTCTTCTGGAAGACTTGGGAGAAAGTTTATATAGCAGGCCCATAGCCAACAGTTTTAGGGGGGGGGGGGTCTTATCTGAATAAGTGGACCTTTTACCATTCAACCTTTGTGTATCTAGATCAATTTTTACCTATAGCGAACCTTGTCTTGGCAAAAAATGACGGATTTGTTTGAACCCCCCTGGCTACAGGCCTGATATAGACTGACATGGCTAGATAATGATACAACATTGCATGCTTTTAGGTGGATTTTACCCAGGGGTCCCTGTTCAGCCAGTCTGCCTACGCTTTCCAAATAGATTAGTAAGTAGTGAGCTTTACTGTGAGAAAAACAGGTGAAATGGGTCAAGTTTGCTGCATCAGTGAATGTAAATTATTAGAAAAATAATGAGCATGTGCTCTGTGGCTTATGTACTGAGGCCAGTTTCACATGTCAAGAATTGTAGACAAAAAATTTGGTCTTAATTTTTAAACCAGGATTTTTAGCACCTTTCGACCCTAGACAATCCTTTTCCTTTAAAATTCGCACCTGTTTCATAACATTGTCAAGGAAGAATTGGCTAATATTGCTACTTTTGCTACTAGTCACCATTCCAGTAAATTACTACAGTTTTAACCTGAAATGATGTAGACCAAAGGATTTGTGATAGCTAGAGCTTGAACAAGGCATTATCAGTCCCCCACATTCCTGTCATACGTTGTGTTTTGAACCAATTGTGTGCAGTAATTGAACTAATTTCAAAATTTTCATTCTCAGGATACGTATACTTGGACATGGGAAGGCCCTGGGGCGTTTACACTCTTCTGGCTAACTTTATGTCAAATACACAACAGGTTTGAAGTGGAGGTGAGGGATTATATTATTAAGTATAATGCTTAGAATGGTTTTTTATTTTAAAGAATAACGATTAAGAAATAAGTGGTTTTGAAGTTTTATTTTAAATACAGGATTTTTGAAATGTTTTTGTATCAATCTGTCCAATTAATATTATATGTTTTTAATTCATAGATTGAGAATGTGTTGAGGAACTCTGGCGTAAAAATTTCAGTATTACTAAGTTCAAAATTATTTCGTTGTTTATAGAATTCTTTTAAATTATAACTTATTCCTGGGCCAGTGAATTGGAAATTTTAAGTTGATTATCTCATTTCTTTATAATTAGTACCTACCTGTCTACAAACCAAATGAAGAAGAAATTGCAGACCCAAAGCTGTTTGCCAAGAATGTCAGAGAGCAAATGACAAAGTAAGTGTATAAAGATATTAGTAAGTAGTAAAAGAAAAGTATTTTGATTAGTGTTCATATGTTTTTCTTATTATTTTGTTATGTTTTGTGTATGATTTAATATTTTGAAAGACTTTTAAAATTATTTCCAGTGCAAAAAAAAAAAAAATTGTTTCAAGTTGGTTACAGGCTAGGGGATTTAAGAGGTTGAAATTAATATTTATTGAACTAATTTATATGAACCATACATCTTTTTTCAAGTACCTATTAACTTTTAAATTAATTTAAAATAAAGTTTTGAAATGAACTTACTTAATTCCAGGTGTGTGAACACCCCTGGCACAAACAACACATACTAAAGTTGAGAATTTTGAATTAAAAGTTTAAAATAAACTTCTCTATTTCTAGATGTCTGAATGTGCCTGCCACGGACCACACATTTGATGACTGTCGTCTCATGACCTATGCCGCCAAGCTCAAGTTACCAATGGCATCAGGCATTGTAGAGTTTAACAAAGTGAACAAGAAGCTAGGGTGAGATATGACATGATACGAGATGACTGAGACTAATGCAGAAACACTTGTTTACATACATATTTGTCATATTTTTTCTTGCTGATTGGATACTAAGTTAGGAGAAATGCATATGTTTCATGTTTAACCTTAAACACTTGACAAAAAAAATTCAGAAAAACTATGTAATGTAGTGAGAAAATCTTCAGTGTATAAAAACAGTAAAGAATGGTAGGTGCATTAGCCATCAATATTTGGTTAATATATTTACCCTAGCTCATATCCTCATTTTATAATTATTCAAAATAATGATGTTTTCAAACCTTTTTTTGGTTGAGTGTATGTTAACCAGGCTGAGAAAAGAAATGTGGAAAGGAGGCATGCAGAAAACACAATCATTATTACTGTAACAACATTATTTATATAGACAGGGCGATAAGAAGTATTTGTTTTTGTGGACTTACCAAACTATCTTTTATCCACCGGTGAATAAGTTCTTAGATCTGTCAAAAGGACATGACGTGATATTTAAATGTAAAAAATAACAAAAGATCTAAGAATCTCATTCAGATTTTTTAATGCTTTTGAATTTTAACTGTTATTTATGCTGTAAGTTTTGAAATATTAAAGAGATGCATAAAGTATTTTGAAAAAAATTTGTCTTTTTTGGGGACTTTCTCATTATACTGTGGTCATTTCATTTTGCAATGCAGCTGTAGATATATTATTATTATTTGATTGCATTAGATTTCATTTTTCATATTCTTATCCATTGAAACATTTTTCTTAGTAATTAGAAATCCAATTTTGCACTGTTGATTTAACAACCCTGCTATAGCGCTGCTTGTACAAGTAAATGAAAATATAGAAATGACATCTCTTTAAATGAAAAAAGAAAAAGATGGTGTTCCATAAATGTTCACTGATTACTGCCTGATTCACTGCTTTGCTTGCTTAATCCCTATCCCTCACTAGCATCACCTTTGAGGCAGCTAAAGCCATGTTGGAGAAATTCCGCCAAATCCACACAGGAAAAGAGGGAAAGATCACGGTACAAGAGTTGGCGGAACATCTCAACTTGCCTGTATCAGAAGCACTGGAGGATGTTTTTACGATGTATGACAGGGTAAGGATTAAATAATGGTTTCTGTAGTAATAAATTATTATGTAATATGTTATTATTATTATTAATTATTATGCTAAATAATAAATTAAGGCATCGTTCACATGGAAAGTCTATTTTCTAAAAATATGTTTACATTCGCGGTCTCGCATGATCACAATCTATGCCCTGAATATCCCGCGGCGTAATTACTGGCAGCGCGAGCCAGTTACTTATACAAAGCTGTAATTAATTCTCAGCTGTGCTCGCATTCTATAAAATCTCATCCTCAGTTGCCGCAGCGCTTGCCATTGGATCATGACGGTTGCACTCGTATCTGTCGTGTGTAAAGCTTCTTCATCTTCTTGGTCTTGTTGTTGCACAAAATTGACAAACACATTTTTCAAAGCAACCGCGACCGCCATTAACTTTCTAAACTTGAAACTGAATCGATGGGAAGGCAGTGAATCGACGAAACATAACTGAATCGACGACATGATTTTTTGCCCTTTTGGCCGCCCATATTCCTACTGCGAATGCGTCAAGGTATCAGAATCTCCTCCGAGCACAGCCGAGAATTAATTACAGCTTTGGAAGTAACTGGCTCGCGCTGCCAGTAATTACGCTGCGGGATATTCAGGGCACAGACCGTGATCACAAGATATACCGTGAATAGAAAATAGATTTTTAGAAAATAGACTTTCCATGTGAACGAAGCTTAAATGTTGTTAATTTCAGACATGAGCTTTTTCTGCAGAAACATGAATTTCTGCGTTTTTTAAATTCATTTCTGATGGCTCCTGAGATTCGTCTTGTCTGAGATTCGTCTTGTCTGAGATTCGTCTTGTCTGAGATTCGATAAATATTCAGTTTCCCACAAAAACTTCATGTACCTAGATCAAATTTTACCCAGAGTGGACCTTTTCCAGCAAAAGAGGCGGTTCTTTCGAACCCCCCGAACCCCCCCTGGCTACGGGCCTGTATACATGAAGATGAAAATAACTTGACTGTCCTGTTAAAGTGTCATTCAATACTTTGTACTTCAAAGCCAATCAGTACACAGACTCATCTTGTTATGCATTTCATCATCATCTGTCATGTAAATTTGCTGGGGGACAAATGTTGTGTAGCAATAACTGAGGATGACTGCATGAAATATAATGACAAAATATCCATTACCCGAAGTTATCAATCTGTACGACGCACTCAACACAATGTCTGTTACAGGAATGAGTCACACCTACTTCAAGTTTTCACACTTGTAGTCATGTGACAATACAGGCCACTGTATCCCTTTGTTATTACAACTACACACGCCACTAACAATTTCCTTTTTTCCTTTACTTAACACAGTTTTGGGCCTGTCTCGATAGGTAGCTGTAGTTTTGACCTGCTTTTATAATGTTTTGTGCTCAAAATTAAGTGCTTGTTCTCCGGCTGTTCTTATGGTCTCCTTGTACTTCTTTTCATATCTTTATATGCTTGTTTAATTTTAGGATAATTCAGGTACCATAGATTTCCGTGAATATGTGATAGGTTTATCTCTAGTCTCTGAGCCTGCAAATACTGAAGACACTATTCAGCTGGCTTTTCAGGTGAGATTATTAGATGAAATTATGAATTTTTAAAATGATAAGAAAATGATAAGAAATAATAGCAAAAAGTATGGAAAAAAATAGGACTTGGCATGTTTATTTCTTGAAATCTTAGATTGAAATACAATTTGAACAAGTATCATTGAATGCTCTTAAATATTTAAAAGAAATGATTCTGTCATCTCTGGCATGCAGTGCTGTTATTAAAACCATTCACAAATTTTCACCATTTTCCCATTTTCACCTGAGAACCTTTTATAGAGTACTAGATTTATTTTTTACATTTGTAGCTGTTTGACTCTGAAGGCAAAGGCTATCTATCTGAGTCCGACTTGGCCCAGATGTTGCACAATGCATTTGGCATGAATGAAGAAGGAGTGAGGAAGCTTTTCCAGCAGGTGGACAAAGACCAGGATAGCAAGATAAGCTTTGGTAAGAATTCCAAGTTTTTAGTGTCTCAAAGTCACCTTCTCTATTTACTTTGAAGAAGAGTTTAGGAGAGCTTGAAAAGTTAAAGATTTGTTTTCAACCTGTGCACCAGTAGAGTGACAATCCATCTCATATATTACAAACTCATTTTGAGCTGTAATCAGATTCAGTCTGTATTCGGCAACTTTGCCAGCCTTGTGCTCTTTCTTTGTGATTACAATCACTTTTAAAGACAAAAAGTATGACAAAGTTAATAAAAAGGCCTTATCTTATCAGTTGTGTTATACTGTTTTGTTAACTGGAGAATTTTGTTCTTAAAAGCAGGAGAATGCTTTATTGTTTTATTATAACAGTAAAAGAATATTATTGATTATGGCATTGACTTCATAAGAATTTACACTGTTTGTAAGCCATGATGTTGGAGCATTATTTATGCCTTTTGTTGGCCATCACATTATTTTATGTTTGAAAAAAAAATGTATTTCCTCCAGATGAATTCAAAGCCTATGCAAAGCAGAAGCCAGAATATGCCAAGCTGTTCATGACATACCAAAAATTGACAAACTCAGCAAATAGCGAACAACCATTTGAAGAACAAATTGACAATGATGCTAAACAAAAGCAAGACTGACGGTGTTATACCCATAATGCCATGCCCAAGTTTAGCTCAGCTATAGATGTCGCTTCAGTGAAGAATCAAGCAACAAGACAAGACTCATTTGACATTTAGATTTCAAATTTTGGGTTGTATTTACTGTTTCAGGAAGCACCGTGATGACTGATTCAGAAATCTTTTTATTAAGAAATCAAAGACTACAGTTTACTAAATTTTCATCAAAGCCCAGCTTCTTTACAATTTCCAAAGCTACATTAATTTTCTCACGAGTGTTCTCCATCATCCATCAAAATACTAGGATCTCAAACAATCCCAACCACTTTGTATACGTGATGATATAATTGTGAAGTGGTCAACCAAAATCAGGCAGATATTTTATATTCATTGTTATGTGTTGTAATATTTGTTTTACATTCTCTGGGTTTAGTCATGGATAGAGTTACTGCTCAATTTTATCTCTTTTTATATACTTATATGTATCCCTTCACTCCCTATATATGTATTCGATGTTGGGTGTTTTATACAGATAACTTATACTTATATGATTATTGATATATTAAAACAGTAGTGTCCTGAAATGATCTTATTCTGGGAAAGAAAAGCTGTTGGATGGCTACATGCCAATGGATATCAAGTTAATATACCCAGTTGCTTGGATTTTATCAAAATTATGAACTTCAAGACAAAATCAGGTAGTAAATTGGTCGAACTGATTTCTCCACAAGGAAAATAATTCCTGAGTACTTGTCATAAATGTTTTGCCATAAATTGTTATCGTAATATGTAAAATGTGCTGCTGGTTGTGTGTGTAAATATTTTTGAGCTGTTTGTATAATATGTGTAATATTTAATGTGTATAGGGTTTATGCCTGCTGTGTTTTAAGATCTGAAATGTCGATGATCAGCTAGATGTTGTTCTGTGAAAAACAAGTTTCTCATGGATGTCTGGGAATTTGCATCAATCTCAGTCTTTTAGTTTTTAATAAATGATTAGTAACAGTTGAAGTCATGGCTCTTATCAGAATCCTCTTTTTTATATTCAGTTGTTGGATATTTTGATGTTAAGCAAAGAAATGCCATAATGGCTGCCATCTTAAGTAACTATAGCTGACTTTAAAAGTGAAATCCAAACAATTTCAGAGTGGAATAGTCATCCAGCTTAGACTAGTAATAAAATGTATCACAGACCTGCTTTATTTTTGGCTAGTGCTCATGCTTTTGTAATGCTTTAACATGTTTTAATTAGGCTATCAGATACTAAGGTTTTGATCCTTCCTGTATCCTCTTCAACATTGTAATGAGCTTTCTGATTTATACTGTAACTTATATTGAAATATATGTACATCTCAGTTTCACATGCTAGATTTTCTGACATTCCCCTTAAAGGCTTTGAATGCTTTGTGAAATGGTGGTTTTATATATTATACATCTGACTACGCATTTCTTTAATAAGCTGATGCATGCTTGCTTATAGGTGTTATGGGTATAACATTATTAAAGCCCTTAGCTATTGCTTTGGTGCCAGTTAATATGTAATATTGCTGTGAGCTGATATCAATAGGGTAGTATTTAGCTGTATAGGTATTGCATAGCTGATGTCTAGATTAGTATCGCTGCTGTTTCTTGCCTTAGAAATAGAGAAATTGATGCATGTGTGACTAAGATGAAAAGCACAATCTTTTTATTACAATCGGTCATTAAGGAGTTCTGGATCTGTTTGGTTCGCTTTTGTATATTGTTAGTTGTTTTGGTGTGTATAACTTTGTGCAAAAAGTCATGTAGTGACAGTTACCAATTTAATATTTGAAGTCAACTTAAGAAATGTTTAACCAAGCACACACATACTAAATGAAAGTCTGGTACTTTTTTTAGAAATGTGTGTGTTGACGTTTTGAATAAATAAACCTATTTGGACTAAAGTGGAAGGACCTCTCTCACCCTATCTCACTTTATAGGTTAAGAAATGCAACGAGTTAAGTAATTTTATATGCTGATTGATGACACATCTTGTGTTTCTAGGCAATATAAAAAAAAATCACATTATTGGAAGTATGCATGTCTACACCTGCTAAATATACCAGAATATTCATACTGTGCATAATAGGTATATACTTGTTTTATTATCAGGAATATAGTGCAATGTATTTCAATGGTTTTACTGTAAAAGTTCAGTTCAGCATTTGTATTGATTATAAGTGAAGCAAAGGTTTTATTTGTATTTATTACTTAATGAATATTCTAACATTTTTGCTGAAGAAAAAAATCAAGATTGAAAGGCATGTATGTATTACAATACTTAACTAAATACAGATATTGTGTCCAAATTGGATGCTGTCATTTGCACTGTTTGCTGTATCAATTTTAAGATTGTTTTTCAGTGGTAATAAAGGTTAATTATTATACCTAAAAGCAATTGTTTTTAAATTCTGTTTCCCATGCCAATTGTTGTCCACTATACTTCCTTGAACATAATTTGCAAGTCAAACTCCAAAGGGAAGAAAAATGATTGGTTTACTTAGAAAAAATGAGTGTTAGAGGAAAAACTAGCATGGAAATATTTCAAGTAAAAGCAGACCATCATACAGGAAAATAGAGCTGGTACTTTAACCACATGTTTGATCGTTCTTTTTTATGATTTAAAGAAAATATTTAAAATCAAGTCAAACCCCAAAGGGTACAAAAATGATTGGTAAGAAAAATGAGTGTTAAAGAAAAGAACTAGCACAGAAATATTTCAAGTAAAAGCAAACTATTATAAAGGAAAATGAAATTGGTGATTTAAATTACATGTTTGAATTCTTTTTATGATTTAAAAAATCGGAGATTTTCCAAAATGTCAGTACATTGCAAAATGTAGTGCAGGTAATACATAATGTTAGAATTAGAGTTATTTATAGCTATTCTGATCACGTGACTGGGGAATCCCTTGTGACGTAAAAGTCACATGACTGAGTAAAATAAACACCAAAGAGTAGAAGATGGCCGACGAAGAAATAATAGATAGCCAAGTTGAATTAGATGTGGACAAGTAAGTAAGGAATGATATCCGTAAAATTCAGTCACATACAAAGAGAATGTTTCAGATAAACCGCACAATATGTAATCAAGAAAATATGTTTTGCAATACGCCTTACTTTACTGGTGTCTGATGAGTCTTAATCAGACAAAACCAGGCTTAGACAGCTTACGCAACGATGACTTGACATTTAAAATCCAAATTTTTCATAAAGCTAATTGGGTCTTATCAAGGGTAGTAACTCTTATGATTAATACATTTATCACACACTTGGTTCAATATTTCTGTCAAACTCTCGTTTTTTGGAACGATAAGGGGGCATTGAGATTCTACTGGCTGGGGAAATAAAACTAGTAAATTCATAAATCCGACAAAATCTTATGTCCTAGCTAGCTATAACTAATAATAATTATAATGATAATGATAATAAAATGATAATAAAATAATTATAATATGTAACAGAGCAGGAATTATACGCAATATGATCATGTTTTTGCATCATTTTCAGTGCTGGCTGGTTACGAAGAAAACTGCGATGGAAGCCAACATCTAAAGGACTGTTAGCAGAGGCCGAGCAGAAACTGTTTCAGTGTAAGGGAAGCTATAGGGACCATTCCCATAACCCTATCGTACTAGCAGGGTCGATCTCCAAGGGGATTCTTGCAAAATTGCAGCTTCAGTGGGCGTGACAGACATTTAGGCTGCTTAATTAAAGTGAATGCAATTTAGAGAGAATCCCCTCGGAGTTAGATCGATCGTGCTAGTACGATAGGTTTACGTGAACCCAGTCTTATTATAATAGTTTATCAACAGCATTCACAAATGGCTTTCTCCTTGATTGGGAAATGAATCCCAAAACCACATACATAAAACAACTTCAGAATATAAGACTAGTCTACTATAATGCTAATATGGAGATTTTTTTTTCTTAATTTATAAATTTTAATACGAAATTAAATTGTCTTATAGACACCAAAGTGATAAGACTATTTAGTATTTACAGATGCATGGACTATAAGTAATAGTGTATCGGAGAGATTATCTTAATTAAGCTTTCAGAAAAAGGGCGATGACTGGATCAACAGCAAAACGACTGTTATTAGTAATTTATTTGTCATATCCTAAATATATTAAACTCTTTTTGCAATTAGTCTAAATGATACAGACTCACAAACCTGTGTCTGTTTATGATTACAATTGTTTACTTTCTACATGCAAAATACTTTCAAACATTTTGTGTCTTAATTTTAGCTCTCAAAGGAAAATACCAGGGCAAGTACATCCCCGTATCAAATGGGCAAAACCAGATCTGGACAATATGTTTAAACGGACAGTTACAGTCAGTAAAAACTGAGACCACCCCAGATGACAAATCCTCCTTTTCTTCACACCATCATCATCACCACCACCACCACCACCACCACCATCATCACGACCATTCTTCAAAGAAATCCCCCCTCATCCTCATTCATGGCTTTGGAGGCGGAGTAGGCCTATGGGCACGAAACCTACTTCCTTTATCAAAAGACCGACCCCTCTATGCATTTGACGTCCTAGGCTTTGGGCGAAGCTCAAGACCAGATTTTGGCCATGACCCTAGTGAGATCGAGGAGGAATTCGTCCAGTCCATCGAGGATTGGAGAAAGGGTGTCGGTCTGGAGAAATTTGTCATGTTGGGTCACAGTTTTGGGGGATTTTTGTCAGCGGCCTATGCATTGAGACATCCAGAGCATGTGGAACATGTGATACTGGTGGACCCCTGGGGCTTCCCTGAAAAGCCGGCAGATTATCAGCAGCTCAGGAGGTTACCTGTGTGGGCCAGGGCTATAGCACGGATGTTACAGCCATTCAATCCACTGGCAGGGTTAAGGGCACTGGGACCCCTAGGTAAGACAAGTCACTAGTCAGGTACTCATAAGCCCCATTCCCATTGACAACATTGATCTACATGGTTCGACCCAACTCTGTGGGGATTCTAGCTGACTGCAGTCAGCTTAACTGAATGACATGCTTCCTTCTGATAGAAAATAGAAAAGCTGGTGATTATACGAGTATGTTGGAAATAAGAGGATGCGTACCATTCAGTTAAGCTGATTGCACTTAGGGAGAGTCCCCCCAGAGTTGGGTTAATCCGCGTAGACCGAGGGTGTCTATGGGAATGGGGTCATAGAACTCACACAGTGACACATATTTAAAAGGCCTTTTATCTAATAATTCACATTGAGCATTCTACTTTTAAAGCACTCTGTTTTGAACATTCTTCCGTTAAATTATGCTACAGTGGACTTCACTCACTTTCAGTCTCTCAAAACAGAAAGATAAAGATGAAATGTTTAGCTAGAGTACTCAATGTGAAAACAGCTTAACAGTCATAGATTATTCATTCAATTTGCAATTTGCATGGTTATAAACATTAAAACAAACTGTATATTATTATTATTATTATAATTATTGCAGTTAATTTAATTTTTTTGATAAATTCACAGGTCCAGGCTTGGTAAAAAAATTCCGCCCAGATCTGATGCGTAAATTTGGCAATGATGAAGATGATGGGTCTATCCAGAACATAGCTGATTATATCTATCACTGTAATGCTCAGGACCCAAGGTAAGAGACAGACTACTGATATTAAAATTGAAAACTAATAGTCACCATATGTTTATCAAAGTAATTTTCTACAAGTTTGAAAAATTGAATTAAAATTGAATAAAAATTGATGTAAAATTAGAATTTTCGTGTTGGGTACAAAATGGTAACAAGCCATGGCTGTAATTTGTGTGTTTTGATATTGTCAAATAACCTGTCAGCTCTGCCAAAATAAATTTGAAGTGAATGAATCAAATATGATCAAACTTGAAAAGGTTTAGTGTTTTCTGATGTTTTATACTGAAAACTATTTTGGAAAAAAAAATCAGCATTTCGTGTTTTGTTAACAATATATAGCTGCATTCTGAAATCAGAAACAATCTTCGTAGATTTTTACAGCAATATTCTGCATTTTCAGTGGTGAAACAGCGTTCAAAAGAATCAGCATTCCATTTGCCTGGGCAGCCAACCCGATGCTACACCGTATCCATGAAATACAGAAAGATATTCCTTTCACTATGATTCACGGAAAGGATTCATGGGTGGACAATGAAAGCGCTTACAAGACCAAGAGCATCAGGAGTGACTCCTATGTTGGGATAGAGGTAGGGCACAAGTACATCGGTGATAAATGTTGCTTTTTCTTTTATGTTAATTAATGGATTAAGTGATATTTCAAATCTGTTAGATATATTCCATATGCCAAAGCCACATTTGTAGATGATGAATGTGTCCTACAAATAATTTTTCGAATCTGTTAGATTTAATATTTCAAATATCAAAACCATTTTAGTAGAAGATGAACGTGTCCCACAAATAAGTTTTGAAATTTTGGACTAAGTTAAAACTATTATATTCTGTCTGGCTGTCTACACATATTGCTTAAGTTGTATCAGTATTTGTTTCTTCATTCGTCTATTGTTTGCTTTTTATACAATTATTCATCTTTTTGTCTGTCTGTCTACTTTTATTTATTTATCGTTTAAGATCATAGAAGATGCAGGCCATCATGTGTATGCAGACCGACCCAAAGAATTCGATGAAGTGGTGTTGAAAGTTTGCAAAATGGTAGATGAGGGAAACTTGAGGTCAAGTCCAGAGAAGAAAGAGACATCTTTATAACTCCATAATGATTTTAAATGAAAACTATCAAACACAAGCCGAACAATCTTTCATACCATTAGCTTACGGCCAACCTCGACGTAGGCCTTCATCAGACTGATGTGAGCAGATGTTGTTACTCACTGACCTACGGGTGGTATAGTGGCCAGTACCCTCCTATAAAAGTCAGGTAGATCGTCCCCTGTCCCTATTCATAATATTCATTTATTATATATATATTTTCATTGAATATATATATTTTCATTGATCCAACTACCAGGCTAATGAACATTTTGCTCCATATTGATTTATTTAATATATAGCTTTCCTCTTGATGAGGTAATTGAAGGTTCAAGGAACACATCGAATCAATCAGAGAAAATAATTTCCTGACAATGAGCTTTTCTCAGTTTGCCAGTAATGACAAGATGTAATCATGTCGCCCATGCCATATCTAAAGCTTTGCCAATTTTTATTGAAACATAAGAGAATTCTTGTTGAATAAAGTAACAGAAGTGTTATTACTAGTTACCTATTCTGCAGCTTCCCAAATATTAAGTAGAAATGAGCCTATGACTTATTTTGGGGCAAATATATAGTTCTGTTAATTTGATATACCAGTTGTTTCTAAAGTGTATGGACCACCATCAGAAATTTTGTAACATGGCATTGAGTTAATATTATTAGATGTTTTCTGACAGGAATCTATATCAATATGCAGCTTGTTATTTATTTAAAGTAGGGAATTAAAAACAACAGTTACTGTAATCAGTGTACGAGGTAAGTGTTAGTAGAAAATAGTACCTAGCAGGTATACAAGGGTAATTTATAAAGACTTGTAATCTCCTTTGTAGCTTAAGCACATGCACAGAGTGCCAGTTATTGTCTTTGTTGTGATCATTTTGTGTTAGGATTTGTCATTAGAATATTTATTGGGAACTTGACAATGTGCAAAGTGATGTTTGTAGTTTGAAAATGATTTTTAATATGGAAATATTGTATTTCTTTCATTATTTTTTTAAAATATTTCATAGTATAATATTTATTGTTCATTTCAGAATTTGTGATCAGTTTTGATTTTTGTGTTGTCACTAATTTTAGTGTTTGTGACAGTAGTATATACACATGATAAAAGAGAACAAGAAATAAAATATACAATGCATGACCCTGTCACTAAGATTTTGTTGTTACATATCATAGGCCTTTTATGAGAAGAAAAACACAACAAAAGTAAAGAATTGAAAATATATACTGTGCCAACTAAACAGTCGGTTTTTTTTTTTTTTTTTTTGGTAAAACTAGTAAAAATGATAATCATGTTATCATGATTTATCAGTGTTGAAATGAAAGACTGGTGGAATATTCAAATTATTAACACCTTTCGTCAATTTTCTCTATTCATCTTTCACATGCACAGAAATAAGGGCAGTGACTGTCTGGGTTACAAGCTTCCAACTGATATCTTAAAAAAAAACAAAACAACATTCAAGTGTTTGACTGCCATTATTATAATGTAAGAGCTGCAAAGCTATGCACATTTGTCCAAGGAAAATGGTGATCTGTTAAGAAAGTTCGTGAGCTGAGAAAAAAATACAGGGAGATGGAAGTGTTTGAAGTTGGCAATGATAGCCAGTTTGGGTCGATTAACCAGCAACGTCACTAACGATGGTCAAAAAGAATAGTTCTTCAAATTTTTCTGAGGTTTGCTTTGTGTGAAATGAACAAGGTGAAAAATGGCCCAATTCAACTTACGTATTTATGGCTACATTTTCATGTACAGATAAAAAACTTGGTCATGGGAAATAAAATTCACAGGAACCACATTTTCTAACAACTGGATCTTTATTTTTTTAAAATCAATCGTTGTGATGAAAGTTAACATTGGACTTCCCTACCAATCACCTCTTACATACAGAGTCATCCTCATCTGCACCAAATATCCTCCAATTACATTGCAACAAGACCAATCTGAAGAACTTTTACTTAACACTGCTACTGTAACAAGCCTTTTCATAATTACTACACTGACCAAACCAAAAGGAAAACTAAGAGTTCAATGAGGCAAGGTCACCTCCTGAGCATGTACCACCAGCTACCTATGTCCTCAAAATATGGGCAGCATTAAAAAGGCCATTTCTGATTGGGAAACGAAACAACTTTGAAAACTTGAATAAAAAGATATAATCTCTATGAATATGAGATTATCATAGTAATTTGATTAAAATTGCTGTACAGCAGTGGTTACAAGGTTTTTCACATTATGATGCATCTTTCCAAATTTGATTTTGAGAAAAAAGGTCACTATATAAAGTAGTCCTTTAACTACCTACATATTACTTCCTTAGATCTTCGATCAATTCCAAGAGAACAGCAATCATTCTTCAAAACAGGAAATAAAACCCTATACGATCATGAAGTGAACAATAATTTGGTCAATAACAACCAAGTTCAGTCACACAACCATGGCAAGTGTCTCGCGAATCCAGATAATTTACCCCAGATAATTTGCTGTAAGCTGGTGGTACAATAGTATACCTTGTGTGACCTACAAACACCTTATGCATTTGGGTTGCATTGCATTATTTTAATTAATACTGGAAATTTAAAAAATAAAATAAAATGAAGCTCAACAAATCTCATTGAGGGAGCAGTCACTGTCAGATAGGCTCAGCCTTAGTTCACAATTAAGACAAGAAGTTTGCTTGGACAAAGACAACCACCGACATATGGCAAGGAAACTAACATAACTATTATTTACTCTCTTTTCATATTGATCTTGAGAATACCTGAAAAAATTGGTCCAATCATCCCCCCCCCCCCCCCCTCTACGATAATATAGTACAGCAAAATATATTTCAATACACTGAAATAACAAGTATGGGCTATGCTACAATTTTCCTTAGTATAAGCTTTTTTATAGGTCTAGCTCGTGGCTGCAGACATCAATTTCTGCAATTTCAGTGATCACCACTATGAATAGCATGCATCTTAAATTACACTTATATTGTTTTAGTTAAATGTGGTAAGAAGGGACTCCTGTAAGATTAATACCACTGTCATATGACATACTATATCATTTATTTTGTAATATATGGAGAGAAAGGGTCCTGCTTCACTCCATTTCTTATCTATACCAAAAGCTGAGCCCACATTAAATTTAATAACATAATTATAAATGTTGTCGTACTGACAGGAAAATATTTCTTTTATTCACATTATGATGATGGTATATAATGATTCCATGAACACTTCATCAAAACGTGTTCATTTGTGAGTATTCTGAGCATCCAGTTGCCAAAAGAACCATTTGGATTGAGACAAAAGTTCCAAAAGGGATTTATTTTAGTACTTAATGACTATTGCTTTAAAAGGTGACAAATTCCAACAGATATAACCCTTTAATTCCAGGTTTCTTTTCATCCAGCTATAGCTCAGTTATATTCTGTGCACTCCCTACCCTCTCAAAATAAATAAATAAATAAATAAATAAATAAATAAAATAAATAAAATAATCATACTAATAAAATAAAATAAAAATTGTACATAAAAATCCAATGAATGGTCCCTTCAATAATACAACAGCACATATTCCAGTTTTCTTGTAGTTACATGAAGCAAATTTTTAAAACAATCACTTCATAATCTGTTGCTTCATTTTTCACACTGAAAACTCAGATGGCCAAAAATTCACATTAAAAAACCACCAATATTTTGGTATTCCATTTTTTTCTTCAGTTCTTAACTTATGTCCTCTATCAATGTCTAAGTGATTAAAGTTTTTCAATCATTCAAAAGAAAAAAAACTGAAATCACTCTGTTCACCCACAGAACTTATGCACAGACTACTAACTATACTGGGACATATATTACAGGGTATTTGCTAAACTGAGGACTTCTATCTGTCTCAATCCAAGCGACTCTTAAGAAATTGATTAAAAGCATAAGTATACTGTGATAATGCAATTATAATAACAAGAATAATGACTTATATAAAATCAAACCAACGCCTTCCTTTGTCAGTTCCAAATATAACAATTAGATAATAATAGATAGTTCAGAGAGGCAGGGGTCGCCTCCTGATTACGCACCACCAGCATAGCATATCTGTTATACCATAAAAGTCATTTTCCACAGTAAACTCAATTGTAAGAAAACAACAAACTGAAAGAAAAAGACCTTAAATATAAACTTTTCATTTGCAACAATTACCCCAGTTCTGAACTAAGAAAATCTGGTTTACACCTTCAGTGACGTCAAACTTTCATCAGTGAAACTACCACTACAAATCCAAAACACCTTTAAGATTTACCTCAGGATGTGGGTAGTCAGTCATCAACCAAGAATTGGAGGAGAAAAGCTTCAGAGTCTATGAGACCCCTTAAACTAAGGCATATTGTGACGTCCTAATTTATATATGTCTTATCTAAAAAGCCTGTGACTAAACCATTTTTAACCACTCCAACTTCTGGGGATTGTAATTGACTTGCTTCAATAACAGCAAAAGTAAGTGGGACCAGAAAGAGATTAGATTGGCTCCTTATGGTAAATACCCCCTGCTGATACAGTATGTAATACAACCTGACGGTAAAAGAGGTCGAGAACGTACCAAATTTAGCGTACCTTCCAACTATAATCTGGTGGTACAAAACTCCTTGCATTGTTATAGAATTTACAGCTCGTTTAATACAACTTGATCAATCAAAATAAAAACACCTCACCTGGTGCAATGATTACTAATAGTTGATTACTTATTTCATGTAACATATCTACTATCACACATACAAACAATTACATTGCCATTGACATTAATACACTTTTTTCTCCCCGTTATCCATACTATGACCATCCCCCCCTCTTTCATCCATAATACCTCACAACTAAGAATAACCTGAGCATAAATATCTATATCTCACAGAATGTCATTTGTATACTGGCAGAAATTTCGTGTTTTAAACTGCAGTAATGTTATCTCCATTAGCCTCAGATCCACACATTCAGATTTAATAATACAACCATTTATTGCCCCACTTGGTGAGTCGGAATGAGCCACAGTGTTGGGCTACCAAACAGTGGCCGGACTCGGGGGACTTGCCACAGCACGTGGTGCTACACTCAATCACAGCTCAATTTCGTCTGTCAGTTATATTATCTTCTCTCCTTTGCCTTTCAGGCCCATTCACGTCAGTTACTTGAGGAATTAATTGTTAAATAAGGCAAGAAATTTAACTGCTGTCCTTTTTGCCTCTAAAATCTCATTTGCTTTGATTAATTTTCTTAATCAGCCAATATCCATGGCACCAGCCATCAGGCCTTCATTGGATAGGTATTCTCTTTGTTTGATTTGCCTGGGAAGTGGTGTGCTTGGCCCTGGGAGATGCTGCAGTTTCATACTGGGACCTAAAAGTATAACTGTATTCTATCATAAACAATGCTTCAGACATTTCTCCAGTCTTTGACGTTAACACTAACTCAATATTAAAATGCTAGTAAAATAAAAACGGATCATTAATTTTTTTTAAGATTTGACTTTTAACAGGCAGAAACCCCCTTTTTGCTGGGTAAAGGTATACATATATATTTGAAAGAAGTTTTGTTGTAAAATGGGGG